TGTCTAGAGCTGAAGTCATTACATGACTTCATGTCTGAAAGGAACGACTGGAAAAGAAAACAGATCCCTGTGCGCGGGGCTGAGCCGCCGCTTCCCCGGGTGACCGCGAGGGGTCTCCCTCGCTCAATCCCACCGCGGGGAATCTTCTCCCTGTCCCGATGTTTTGTCATCCCAATCCATCCCTGCCCCGCCCCAGGACACCTAACCATCCCAGAGGTCCCCGAGCACCAGGCCACTAACACCTCACAGCTCCTCACCAGGCTGAAACCGAGTGGTTGATGACACATCTCTCTGTGGTTTTACGTGCATGTAATCCCACACGCAACCATTCCCGGGCAGGCAGAACAGACAGAGCCACGGCAATGAATCCACAACCTGGCTGCACGGTCACAACATCTGTACCAGCCTGAGACGTGCACACAGGGGCCAAACATGCCTCGTGCTAGAGGCAAACACATCGTTGCTTCTTGGAGGCTGCAAGCACCAGTGAGGCACCAGATTTCACGGTCTGGATTGGAGCCTCACGACTCCAGGTGCAAGGACAACAAACGAGAATGCCAGTGGTTACAAAACATGGACTATAAGTAACTGGTAGGTAATTATGGAGGGACGTGTCTGTGTGGCTCAGCTCCAACATCAACAGAGGGAAGAGCCTTGCCTATTGAGTCATCAGCAGCATTTCCTTCCAGCCCCTGGGTTTTCCGACAGGCCCCCTCTGAGTTACTATCCCAACCCACAGTGGCTGAGCTCATAAAGGCTGCTGAGCTCACATCCCCAGGGAACAGGGCACCAGTCCCCCACAGCCAGGAGAGGTTTCCTGGCCACAGCCATGCTTCAAGGACATGGTGCCTCACCAGCCTCTTTATTACAGCAACTGAACTGAATACCAACCACATTCCAGTTCCAGCCATCAAAGAAGCTCTCAAGACACCCTGTCATAACCAACCCTGTCATAGCCCAACAAGGGCTGCTGGAGTCACACGAGAGTTTTGGTGCCCCACCCCTTTGGTTATCCATGAGTCCCAAACTGTCCACAGCCCAACTGCCCCCATGTAGGAACTAGGTCAGCACTTCCTCTGCAGGACGAGAATGTGGCTCATGTGAGGTTATTAAATGAGAGGAAGATGTTTCTTAATCAGGGACCAGATACCATCTAAAAAGTGCAGAAGTGTGCCAGACCTTCACATTATCACAAGGGGAGTGAATACACAGTGGGGCATTTTTACTGTACCTTCTCAGTATGCAAAGTTACCTGAATTCTTCCACACTTTCTTCATTTCTGCTATTTAATATGGACTTTTCATTCCTTTTCCAGTTTGTCCTACTCTTTCCTTCTGTTTTTCTTCTTTTTCTATTCTTTTCTCAGTTCCATGTTCTGTTTCTACTACTGTCCCCAACCCTTCCAACAGAGCTGAACAGTGAAAACATACTGATCTGTCTGTTCCATGTAATTCCCACTGCAATTTTCTCTCAACAGATTTGTTACCTCATAAAAAAGTCACTGAAGGGCTTCAACAACATGCAGGACGTAGGACTCTCAAAACCTCATCTCACTGGATCAGGTGCCAGATCCCATGAACAAAGCATCTGGTTTGATGGGGACCAGAGGGTATCTGCCAGGGTTCTGCAGTAAAGCACCTGCTCAGCTGGCTGTGGGCTTTTCTGTGCTACTGCAACAGCACCTTTACATCTCTACCAGAGCAGAGTAATTCCCCAGGTCTGCAGGACATCTGAAGACATTTCTGAAGATCAGATAAGATCTTCAGATAAGAGGAAGCTGAAAAATTCAGCTTTAGAACCACACATGTCTCTGAAACAATAAATGTTTTGAGTGATCAGCATTTCTAGGCAGTGAAACAAATCAGTGTTTCCATTCCCGGGGGAAGTGGGAAGCAAGCAAACTCCATTCCTCTATTCCATAGCATACAGGAAATCTAAGTGATTGATAGCAGCAGTAGGGAAATGCACATTCAGCTTATATTTCCAATGTAAATGACTTGCCACCTCACCCCTCTGCTTCCTGTTCCTCCACAGCGCGCTCCCCCCACACACTCTGGCTGATCGATGTAGTGTGTGTGAATCCGGGAGGAAGAAAGGAGGAAGGACTTGTTAGACTGCTTCCCCCCACCCCAATTTAAATGAGAAAGATAACATGCAAAACCAAAGGGCAAACAGCTGTTCAGGATTGAGCTCTTTTTGCCCACAGACCCAGGGTGTTGACGTAGGGAGGGACTAAGGAATCCTGCAGCACTGCTCCCAGACCCCATCTGTGTCAGGTGCAGAAGGCCCCTGCTCTTACAAAAACGTCTCCTTGTATTACAAAGGTCAAAGCAGCAGGCAAAGAGGCTTTTTAGAATGCTGCACACCGTTTGTGGGATCTGCCTGGCTCACAGGGACGCCGAGACACAGCGATTGCCAAGGCAAGAGAAGGAACGCGGTGAACATCCGCTGGCAGGAGGCGTGCCCCTGTTCTTTCCCAGGCAGCTCACTGAGAGGTGCTTATTTTTACAAAGCAGGCTCTGAGATCTTAAAGAACCAATGTTGTCGTGGTGCCCTAAACCAATGAGTATGTGACCTACTCATTCCCACTCTGTCCCTTGACCTTTTCCCATAGCATTCTCCAAAAGGATCACGTGAAAAATAGCCCTTTCTCAGCTCTCCAGAGGCTTTGGAGACAGCATCAAAGCTCTGTGCTTATAAACAACTCCAGCTAGGCCAAAATGCCATTCCAGCATCAGGGGTCCCAGGATTTGTAAGCCTGTCACAAGGAACTGGAGGGAGAGGGGGCAGGGGAGAGGCAGCATGTGTTGCCAAGAGAAGGGGGAAGCAAGGGCCAGGCAGCTGGAGTGAGAGCTGAGCTCCATGAAAGCCCCATGGGCTGAGACAGGGTTTGCCCACACACCTCGGGGATCTTTTTACCTCCTTCCTTATTACAAATAGCTCTCTGAGCATCGGCTGAAGGATCATTTACCTCATTGATCCTTCAACCTAATTTCCCCATTCTTACACCCTTCTCTCACCTTGCACATCCACTAACACTCCAGCATCCACTCTGGAGGAGAATTTACAGCCCAGGTGAAGACAGAATTCAACAGACTGCAGAGCAGCAGCCCTTGAGCACCAAGACTAGTTATTTGTTGACTCTTCAGGATTCAGCAGTTGGTCAACAAATACCTACAGGAATCCCTGTTAACTCCCCTGGTGTCTCACACTGCTCCTGCCTTTTGCTGAGAAAATTTCAACTGTTCCCAGTTTTTGTGTTTCCTCATAGCTCCAGATCTAGCTTGGCAATGTCTGCACACACTACTTGAATATGTCCTGAAAAGCAAATGCCTCAGAAGGCACTCTGTAACTGAAACTTTTCCTCAACCATCACCCTCTTCCTCTGCCTTCAACCCATTCTTCATTGTCCCCTCTGTTTGTCTTCCTATTCCTACCACAGGCTACAGGCAAGGCCTCCAGTTGGGCAATCCATAGCAAAGGCTGTTGGAGGACTAATTACAGTTCAGGGACCACAGTCCCTTGTTTCAGTGTACTACTGTTACCATGAAAACACAACATGCAGGAAAGAAAGGAGATAAGTCCCTTGTAACCACCTACCAGCACGTCACCACTGTGCCTGGAGCTCCAGCACTCCATGGTCATGTATTCCATGGCACAGCCCAGCAGCCAAGGAAAGTCATTTTTATGTCTGGATACGTGAACCAGTGGCAGTGGCAGCCAAGCAGGCTCGTGTTTGTGTAGCTCTTACGTGGCAATAGGGACAATTATTGCCCTCTTGCAGGCCAATAATTTCAGTCCCAACAAGGAAACTGGATAATTAGAGAGAAAAGCAGCAGGCGCTTCAATCATTCCGACCGCGTCAGGTCTTTTCAAATGTCATGAAAAGAAATGGTGGGATAATGAATGCCTTGACTCACTTTCAAAGCACCTGATAGGACAGCCAAGAGGAAGTAACAAGGTTAGGAGGGCTCCATCATCCTTCCTGCTTCCTGGGGACTGACCCTAGAGGGTGGGAGATCTGGGACAGGATGGTGTGATCATAGGATGGCATAAAATAGAAATACAGTCATGGGAGTTCTTTTGCTGTAGATGTTTCCAGTTTAAGAACAAACCTCCTGACTTAACTCTGGTTGATCTTTTTCATTTTGTATTTTACTTGTAGCTCTTCTTCACCATTTTCCCTTTTATATAGCATCAGAAAAGCATTAACTCATGACTTTGTTTCATTCCATTGACATTACTGCTTAAATATCCTTCCTGATGTTTTGACATACATCACTTGGACAGTCACTTAGAAATTTAAACCATGGAAGCAGGAGGACATTTTAAAAAAATCAGAAAATATGTGGACAATTCCTCTGTTATTTTAACAGTATGAAGACTCAACACTCATGTAACTCTGCCAGCAAATGCAGGGAAATATGTGCTTACATGGCACAAATATAAAACTAAGCACATGGATTTTTAGACATGAGCCACACTTTTACTACACACCCTGCACACACGCTGTAAGCCCCATGTTCACAAACACACATTTACAGCACATAAGGCAGGCACAGATTATTTTCAGTGCAAAGCACCTTTTTCTATAGACAACAGGAGCATGTGTACCAAGGGAGCACACATACACTGAGCACGCAAACAAAACATCCATTCATTCCATGTAACAAAATTTAGGTCTACTGAATGAAGAATTGCACCTGTATATCCATGTAGAATAAATTTGACATTAGCAAATGTACAATTGCCGTGAAAGGAAATAATATATCTGATGCACTCAACAAAACACCCATAATTGTTCAGCCCAGAAAACAGGAAAACAGAACAATCAAATGAAATGACACACACATAGGCACTGCATGTGTACAGAATGTACACTGGTGAAAGCACACCATCATAAACAAACACACTATTCCCAAAAGACTTATCCATACCCTAATGCTGTGCTAAAATGCACACAGGCAAATCCTTAACCATATGCTCACCTGCACAAATATATATCAGAAGAACAAAATCCCATTGCACGTAATAAGGAGCCCAAAATGCACGCTTTGGAAATGAGGAACACGCTACACAAATACACAAATACCCAACTGGTGCATAAAAGTGTTATATATGTGCTCCATAGGAGATAATTCATATGTCTGAAGTACAAGCTGCAGTTAACAAGCCTAACGCACTGGGGGCTGCATTTTGCCCTGTAGTTCACAGCACAGCACACAGAGCTGGGGCTGAGGTCACATCTGGCCCCACACAGGTTCAGTGACTATAGTTCACATGTAGAATCTGATCTTCTCCCAGAAGAAGCACCTGCAGTGCTGGTGTAATTCCCCAGAGCCAGCCTAGAACTATATAAGCTACTATGTCTGGACTGCCATTCTGCTGCACCAGCCAATAAACCATTTGGAGATTCACTGGCAATTCTCCCAGATTTTCCCCCTGTCTAGGGTACTCAAGAATTCAAGTTTAAGGAGAATAAACTACTGCAACCCTTACACAGGGTGCCCTCCCACCTTATTGCCTCTACACCTGCAGTGAAGGGCAGTCACTAGCTCCACTACAGCTTGAGTCATCATCTGCAACTGCTGGAGATGGGGGATAAAGGCATTTTACTCCCCTATACTGCCCAGATAAGACCTCTGATCATTTCACAGTCAGACTATCGAGTACCTAAACAGAAACAAATGCACCTAATCAAACGCATCGGTGGGCAGTGCCGGACCAGCCAGCCAGGCATGACTCCAGCATTCATCAGAAGCACGAGGAAGAACACACTGCTGCATGCCTGAGGCCTAGAGACAGTCTTCCACTTCAGAAAGGTTTGCATCCAGAGAAAGCACTCCTATTCCACAGCTTCTGTCCAATGCAGGCTAAATGTGAAATCCCAGTGACCCGCTGGGAAAGATTCCGGCCTGCAGCTTGAACACCAGACTCTGCTTCAGCTGCTTCACTTTCCACACCCACTCCAGACACCCAAAAAATCCTGTGGCATGTGATCATTTCATCTATTGGAGCTTGTTAAGAATGCCTGAGCTAAACCCACCATAAAGGCTTAGAAACAGCAGGTTGGCTCCTGCTTCCAGAAACGTCCATTTCTCTCTACTGTGATGAAATCTAGACTTGCTTAGATACAGTTGTCCACATTAAGTGACACAAAAGGCCATCCATGTCTCTCCTTTGGTCCTTCATCAGGGAAGTGGGACTCAACATCGCTCCATTAGCTCTGCCAAAAGTTACAGTCTCTCTAAACGCTGTGAACTGCACAGCACCACACATGGAAAAGGATCTCATTCTGCTATCATAGCCCAGCCTGATGGTAGAGCAACAGGGTAGACAGCACTCAGGTTCTGCCTCACCCCTCCCAAATGCCTCTGACCGAGCAAAAGCTGTGGAAATCCAGAAAAACAGGAAGTATCTTTTTCTCCAGGTGCTCTATATGGTGAGTAGAGCTAACCAAAAGAAAAACAAAACAAATCAGGAGAGACTAATGAATAAAAACAACAGACTCTCTGCCTTTCTTCTTGTAATTTCCCCACCCCAGACAGCTGTAATGTGGAAAGTATTGAAATTTAAATCACACCTCAGCCTAACCTCAGCTGACAGGCTGCCGATGCAATAATCTCAGCCTGGCTATCTTCTCTCAGGGAGAACGACAAACCAACTAAAACAAAGTGATAAATTTTCAATTTTATTTTAAAATATACCAGATGGGAGATTTTATTTGAGTCATAAATATGTCAAAAGCAATGTTGGCATATGACTGGAGATTGCACCCACCAAGGGAACAGCTCTCCTTGCTTAGAAGTGCTATCAGATTCTTAATAAGAGGCTCCAGTTA